ATTATCAAAATATCTTCCAGATTCCTTCTCAACAGCGATGGTAGAACTTGCTTGCACTTCTTTATCTGCAACTTTGTTATCGAAAAGATCCATAATCCGACATCTTCTTTCACCGGATTTGGTGCTCTTATTTCTGCATCAGTGGGTACTGCAGGAACATGCTGTTTCATCTCATGCATAATCCAATGCTTCACCTGTCGTGCAGTTACCAAACTAATGAAGGCTAGTTTCTTTATGCAGGGGTCTAGTAAAGTCGAAAGGGCTAGAAAATTTACACTTTCAACGCCTGTAAAAAAGCAAAGCAGTTGAGCACTTAACGCAGAAACAAAAGTTGTATGTTTGTAGATACTTGACGAGGTCAAATGCTGGAGGGACTAAGCAAGAGGTATATCCTTTGAGATTGAAATGTATTGATCCGCTAATATCTCGGTTGTGGCATGTTCAAAAGGTTCTAAAACAGCCACTGCCGCTTTAAGCAATTCCATATTTGATTAATTGAGGCATAGATCATTGCAATTAAAAAGACAAAGTGTTGTCCTAACGGCTTTATGCTGCTCGATCATGCGTTCAAACATATGAAACGTAAAGTTCCATCGTGTGTCTACTTCCTGGACGAGTTTGTGATCAGGAACCTGTGCTTGAGCATGAATGTCCTTCAACTTGGCCGTGGCTTTTGTACTCTGATGAAAAAATGTCCCAATTTGTCTGCATCTTTTCCTTATATCATTTACCAGATTAGTCTTGAATACTTCCGACACTACAAGGATCAACGTATGTGCAAAGCATTTGACATGATTCCAACCAGTTATTCTAACGGCAGCAACTACATTGGCAACATTATCTGTTACCAGTGCAACAATCTTCTCTGATATCTGCCATGACTCGGCAACCCTTAGAAACGATGCAGCAATGTTTTCAGCAGTGTGGCTCGATTGGAATTCCAAGGTCTCAAGAACCAGTGACTTCAGAATCATGAAGAAGTAATAAAATGGCAAGTAATGGTGAGATAGCTTGATGTCCACAAGTCACTTGTGAGGGCAACATAATATATCTCATCAAGCTCCTGCTTCATTTCTTGCACACGTTTGGAGTAGATTTTAGGCAGCATTCGAGTGATGGTTTTTCTGGATGGAAGATGGTATCGGGAATCCATTAAATGTAGTAAAGATCGAAACCCCGCATCTTCTACTACAGATAGAGGTTGAAGGTCAGTAGTTATCATTTTCAGCACAACTTCGCCAATTTTCCTACGTCTTGTTGACGTGGAGGAGTATTTTCCATGTAGCATAGTGTCATTGAGTGTTGTTTGTTTTTTTGTTTTGATACGTTTCTTTGCATTGTTTTCTTCAAATAATTTTCTTTTCCTTTCAGCTTCTTTGTATTGCTCTTGATGTTTCATCTTCAAATGCTAAAAAATATAAACCGTTTAGTAGTTCACACACAAAGTTCTATACTATATAACTACATTTGTCTGCGATCAGCCAAGCTACCTTGAATAAATTGAACTGTTGCTGCCATGTTCTCATAACAGATACTGCACTTCGATGTTCCCGTTGTTTTTGCAGAGTCTGCAAACTTTTGGAAATAATCCCGAACAGCACTTCTCTGATGCTTGGTATTGACAGCAGTATAAATGGCATTAGCGTCAGCACTGTCACCTTCCCTTGGATTTCTAACGCTTCTACATTTTTATCAAATTTGAAGATTTTTTAATGGCAGTCTACCATTATTTATGACATGTTTAAAAAAGGAACTGAAAAACGTCCGGGGGCAAATCATATCAAAATCACGTACTAAAAAAGCATTCAAAAACTAAAAAACTTACCTTCAAGTTCAACAATCTCAAAATGTTTACGGATTTAAAGGACGTGAATCCGTGCAGGCACACACACAACGTCGTGCTTCATTCGTAAAAAGCACTGGCAAAAATTTGTTTGACACCGTGATTTTACCCCAGACATGCGAGTGCACTCAATAATTATTACTCCGCGAGAGAATCTCGAAACACTACACACGCGTATCTGGGGTAAAATCTCACGTGTCTGATGTAAGATTTGGTTTCGATTATTTTCTTCAGGTAGCGTTTCGTGTATTTCATTTCAATGCATATAAATTAAATTTTTTAAGGATACAGTATTTTTTCATGATTTATCCGCTGACCAAAACATTAAAAAATCGCAAGCGCATAAATATTAAAACTTCGATATTTTATACAAATATCGATACTTTTCTTCGAGACCCTGGTATCGATAGTATCGAGTATTTGGTATCGGTATCGGCCATTGAGTTCTATAAGACCTGGAGGGGAAAGGGGCCTGGACCCCGTGGTCAAAAACATGGCGGTAATGGCGGATTTTGGTTGTCAAAACTTCCACTTTGAGAAAAACGTTTAACATTCGCTCCTCCCAAATCCGGATCTTTATTACTGCTTATATTAATGACAACCAGCGAAAACAACCACGATACCGTAAGCATAAAATATTGAAAATAATGCTTCAGGTTTTTGTGAAATAAACACACACATTTAAACGAGGTAAATCTACTGTAAAATAACGTATATTTTGTCAAGTAATGCTTTAGCTATATTAGAAATAAATATCAAACGCCATTCTTTACACTGTCAATGTGTCGTTAAGCTTAATGCATATTCCATTAGCATTTCGTGTTTTTTGACTATTTTTTAAACAGCTTGGTGCAACTTTCTTTCTTAAATAGATATGTAAATCTTAGTTAAAACGTCCAAAACGAGTTAGAAAAGTTAGCTTACCCTACGACTCAAGTCGACTGGAAATATATTATAAGTAGGTATGTAATTTTTTGAGTTTTTTGGTAGGATTGATTCTGGGTGTCTTATAAGGTATTATGATATTCTGATAAATCTACTGAGAACTTATGAAGAAAATATCTTGAACTAGGAGAGCAAAAGAACGAAATTCAGAAATTCTATAATCATGTTGCTGGTTCTGTTTTGAGCCAAGATATTAGAAAACTGGATTGTCATTGACAACCATGGATCTACTGCTGAACAGAACTACATTAATTTCCCATTGAAAATACGATTTCTTAAATTAAAGTGCATTGGTTTCTCTGACATAACACTTTTCTTATTGCTGCATGAAGGCAAATCTGTTTAAATAATTAAAATGTAGGTGAAGATATTTAGCATGTTGTATAATTGTTATTGTACAGTCATTATTTATAATATTATGGCCTTGTGTAATGTATGTAAAGAAGAACTTATTAATTCTCAAAAATGCTAACCTTCTTGCACTACTATTCTCCTGCGTCCTTACAAATTACAGTTACCTATACTAATTTTTTCTAGGTTCAAACAACTTGACAAACTTTTGAATTTTACATTATGCCATCTCATCATAAGCTTTTCTTGAGCAAATATTTCAAGGCAGGAGCATAATTTGGCAAATTATTGAACAAAGTAGTTTTTATCTTGATTTTGATGTTCTAACCTGTTTACTATAACAAACAATTCATTTACAGAAACACCAGATGGCATTTAAAACTTTTAGCATAAAGCAAACCCTTACACACCATCATCATGATTGTCCATAATCTGTTAAATTGTCTAGGCTAGGTGTTTAATACAGGAATTTTTTATTGTACGACATGTACCAAAGAGTTCATTAATTAATCCTGCACTGCATTTGATTTAATAAAGCTCTGTCCTTAATATTTGCTTCATAATTTCAGAAAAATATCATGAAAATATCCTCCATTTCTTGAAGGTAAACTCAGTTGATACAAGGAGTTTTAAGATATGCATATCTCGATAAGAATTGGTTGCTTAGTCTCGTCTAGCAAGCGATTAAGTAAAGAACAAATAAGACTGGATAAACATTACTTAAATCATAAGTTAGGAGTAAAAACATTCACAAAATATATACCATCACACTTCAAGTATTGAATTAAAACAAAACACTGAACACTTTAAATAGTAAACAATGTTACGTTGCTTACCGGTGTCTTGAAATGTTTCCTTTTCCAGCATTTCTTCAGCATCCGTATACCAAACAAGTTTACAGCATGTTTTAAAGATAAAATTTCTAAAAGTTTTTGTGCTTGGCATTGATATTTTATATAATCGCAATTGTGGTTGTGAAATCCGTGTGGGCGAAAAAAATTTATTTTATGAGCCCGCGTCTTTCCGCTGACTTTGACAACCAAAATCCGCCATGTTTTTGACCACGCGGCCGCGCGCTAATAATTTATAGTAATTTGGTTCACATTTCCCCTCCAGGTCTTGTAGAACTCAATGGTATCGGCCCATCCCTACATCGACCGGTTTGGTACCAAACAATCAACAGAATAAACAAAGACAAGTAGAGAAATAGGACCATGTAAAAAATATTCATAACTAAATTATAGACGCAATTAAAAGCCGGTTTTGAAAAAATCAAAACAACGGTGTTCACCATAGTTTCTAAGAACGATATGCAAAAGCTTTTAAGCAAAGAAGAAGTGAAAAACATTAAAAAAGCGACAAAGCTGGTTTTGAACATATTTACAGCATGTTTAAACGTGAGGAACTCGAAAAAACTGTTTTGTTTCAGCTACAAATTAGCAAAGGCTTGAAAATGTTTTACATTCATCAGGTTTAATAATATTTCAGTTAGTTGAAGTGAATAATAAAACAGTTATTGAATTCGTTTTTCGCATGATATCAAGAATTGTTCAAACCTCGGTTATTGTTATCCGCCTCAGGTTCGCTTCAGCAGATAACATTGACCTTGGTCATAGTAACTCTTGATATCATGCTCAACCTCATCCAATAATTGTTTATTGCAAATTATCGACAGGTGCTCGATATTGATTTTTCCATGGTGTAAATTCTCCAGTGTTATTGTTAAGGCAGTGCGTGTGTTATTGTTAAGGCAGTGCAATGTTCAATGTTCTCTATTGATGAGAAATGGTGTGAGTATAAAATTGTTAGAGAATATGAAACATGACCGTTTCATGGTAAGTATAAAAAATACAATACTTACGAATAAACGCTACGAAAATCATACTTGATGCGCTTCAAAAAATACAAGATGTTGTACGGCGTCCACGACACAAAAAACGAAACAATGGTGACCAAAAGCATTTTAACGACGCCTTGCCGTGATTGGTAAGTTATGGTGGTCCCAGCGTCCTCTCCAGGTATGGGTTGCCTAAGCTTGCGAATTACGAGTAGGTAAAGTCTGCATATAAAAATCAGTGGTACTACGTATAAAAGCACAACTATACCAATGCCATAAATATTTTTCGCTCGCAAACTTGGCCATTGTTCGGTACAGTCGCATGTCAACTGATTCTTGTCTTTTGTGTCTACTCGCAGACCGCAATAAATAAGTGTCGGAATGTAGATACACACACTCACAAGCCACGTTAAAGGAACGAACCAAAGAATTCGTTTTACTGACCTTCCGTCACCAAATGAAACAGATTTGCAAACAGCGCAGTATCTATCATAAGCTATTACACCAAGAGTAAGGACAGAGGCCCCATAAGGAATGTTGTTCATATTAATCTGAAACTTACAACCAACTTCACCTACAAAACATCAAATTGAAGATCGTGTTAATGATGGCATGGGAACGCAGGGCACTTACAGAGTACAAAGAAATTCTTATGTCAAATAGCTTAGCCTTCGTGAAAACGACTGAAATGTCTTCTCATAATCACATACGCATATAATCTTCACATAATCACATTATGCTACTAATTGTCAGAAAATGTTCTAAGAACACTTAAAGTCAAGATTCTGGCTTATACAGTGGTCACCCTACGTTACGAGGTCATGGGGCAAAATCCCGAAAGTTTCATAACATAAATTTTGTAATATGAAACATACTCCGAAAAAAAAATTCATGTTTAACACAATATTCTAGAAACAAACAAAACAATTTTTTAACAGTTATATATTTTGAATTTATTGCACATTCATCATGAAACCATAGTTCCAAGCTAAGTGGGGCTGTACCACTCTACTCATATGTGCGTTGTTACATTATTTCAAAGGAAAAAGGAACTGTGAATTGTACGGGAAGGATGAGTTGATTCTGTGACTTTTATTAAACGGTCACCTCTATTGACCGGGCGCGGTCATCTTTTCCAATGTTCTAAATTTAATTTTTCATTGTTTTAAAACATTATTATGAGGTCGGGTTAAGTAAATATTTCATATAATATAATTGAACATGTCAAAAACCTTATAACCACCTCCTTTGACGACACGCTTTCCTTTGCTTACTTCTTAGCAATTTGAGCTGTGACATTTATGCCTATACTATTTACTATTTTCTGGTTTAAACTAAGAAAAAACTTATTGCTTTATATAGTGTTATTATGGGTAAGTTGGCATGTATGTTGGGGAACAATGCCGTTTGGTACAACTTTAGTAACATTAAATATTATAAGCAGCCCGTCTGGTGATTCATGAAGATCTTTATTATAATTAAGCGGTCAACTTGTATTAAGCAGTCACCGGAGAAATCCCCAAGAGTGACCGCTTGATACTGGTCTACTGTATTTAGGATTAATGGTTAATCAGCCTCCTATAATAAGAACGAAAAATAAATGTTGACCACATTTATAAAACTCAGCTCTCGAATTTCAATGATATGTATATAGACTTGGTTTGCATCCCTAGATTACTTGAGATGCATAATGAGAACATTGCAAGTTGCAACATCACTTGTATCGTGTATGAGGGAATACGGCTGGTAGGTTGATGTAAGTATGACACGACCATGAGTGCCATATGCTGCCATTATTTGAATGAAATTATGGGAATACATGTTTGATATAATGAGGAAATAACTTACCAATATTAAGATCTTTGACGAGGAAATCAGCGACGTGAAAAATACTCGATAAAGTTTGAATAAGGTCAGCGATGGCCAAATTCACTAACAAATAATTAATTGTTACTTCATGCATTTTGCGATTGGTCGAAACAACGTAAATAACCAATAAATTGCCACCAAAAGCCACCAAGAAAATAATCCCATAAAGCGTCATGAATAACGGGACGAGTGTTATCCTATTGTATATTTTATCTTGTTCCGTTGTGTTGTTAACAGTCGATCCATTTAAAGAAACATTTGATTGAAATGTGCGAATTAGCATTGACATCGTGTCGCCGGGTCGTTAAACTGCCAACGTTTTCTTGCAATTTCAACATGAAAATAGAACAAAATAAAGTTTCTGCTTCGTGACTAATGTTCTTTCGGTGGCGCTTCCCACAATATCAAATATTTGTATTTGCCGAGTCACGCTGACTCACGCGCTTCCAGTAATATGAGGAAGTGATGAGCAAGCGGTAATATAAATCCTCGTGAATTTCCGCAAATAAGGATAATGCAATGTTCTTCCTGTGGCAAATTTATTCTGTTACCTGCCAAAACATTTAACAATGAATATTCTCAGGAGTAGTCAGCATAACTTTTAGGTTTTCTTTCAGTGATATACACAGCTCAACAACTGGGGAGGGAGAATATTCATATTTGCATGTTATAATCCATAAAAACACAAAGGATTTCAAAATGACTAATAATGTATGCATGAATATTCCACCCTTATTAGTCACGTTGGCTACGCCACAGTCTTTCTTTCATAATTTAAAGACACTCTTGTAATAAATTTCATTCTTGAAATTGCAATATAATTTTCAACATTCAGAAATGTGCCTGGTCCTTAAGAAATTAAAAAACTCGTTAGACGACTAATTAGACGACTCGAAAATCCTCAGATCTTTCCACATTCCAGAGTTCGAAACAGCAATGCTGGAAATAGAGGAAGATCTCCATAGAGTCACAATTTGGTGCTGCGAAAACCACCTCCTTATCAATCCAGAAAAAACAAAATTTCTCTTGCTTGGCACGCGACAACTTATGAACAGACTACCAGCACAACCATCCCTGTCCTTCCTGGGTAAAACCCTAACTCCCGTGAGCTCAGCCAAAGACTTAGGTTTGACTTTGGATTCTAATCTGTCGTATAATGATCACATCTCCAAGCTAGCGTTATCATGTCTGTCCAAGTTAATACAAATAAACTGAAAGTTCCATAAGTGTTCTCACGATCGGTCCACCCGTAATAGAGACCTATTTCAAATTCCGAGGTTCAAAACATCAACGGGCCAACGCACATTTGTAAATAGTTACTGAAAAGCCCTATAGGGAGTACCTATTGTTTGTCATTAAAGTCATTAAAAGAAAGTGATTTTAAGTTTGTGTTGACATTTAAATCTGATATGAGAAAGAATGGTCAGAATGGTTGTAAAATCGATCACAATAAGACAAAGCGGTATTTGGATAATTCATGAGTGCCATGAGACAAATATCTCAAGCCTAAAATCGTTTGACAAGTCTGATTTGAGAAAATAAATTTTTGCTTATGTGGGTTGCATGTTACGTCACGGCAGCCATATTGGTAGTGAAATACAAAACAACAATCCGTCGTGGTGAGCCTTATTTGTTCGATAATTCCGTGGATGTTGTTTTCAATCCAGGAACAAAGGATGTCAAAAAATCCGGAACACCGATTTTTGGGTGCATATCGAATTAGTTTGTTGTATAAATTAAAACATTATTTGTATTATTTATCTACTCCCATGCGAAAAGATAAATGTCAATGCCACAATACACGAAACTGATATGCGTTTCATAAAAATTCTGTTTATATTATGCAGCAAAGTAATTCAATGTGCAAGCATAAATCTATGTGCTCCTGTTATGTTAGACATCCCGTGTGCAACGTTTGAGATGGATGGCAAGAAGGTTGTGTGTGTTCTGACACTTGATGAAATGTCAATTCACAAGCATGTAAAATGTGAAAGTTTTTGTTTATGTGAACATTGAGTACTAAGATTGATGATGACTCACTGTAGATGTATAACTTCAAACTGTAAAATTCATTGAGTTTCATATAACTTCATGGTTAAATCATGTCATACCTTTATCATAAATTTTTCAGTAGAGTATTGTTTGAATGTTACTAATAGCTAATTCATGCTACAATGAAGCATTAAAGATTCAGTGATGAAACTTTTAAAGTTACAGTGCTATTTATTTTTAATTATTTTCAGGCTTTGCTTTACACAAAAATATTAAGCTAATTTGCCTATTAGAGTACAAAATGGACGTTTTCATTTGCATTATTTGCTGCTCTCCTTAAGGAAAACTTTCTTGAGTTTTCAAAGTTTTTCTTCAAATTTTTTGTTATTTTTTTTTCATGAGATGGTGTTATAGAGGTAGTCAGTGCTGTAGAACTATAGTTATCTGAGGGGAGCTCTCTTGACGAAGCTTAAGCCATAAAATTTTAAAAAATTACCCATTTCGAAGGTAGAAGGAGGGCTCCTTCCCCAAGTGCCCCCCACTTCTACAGCACTGGAGGTTGTACAATATAATAACTTTATAATTCCTAGAAAACGTTTAAGCTTCTAGCATAGAAGTACACCAAATCTGTTTCATTCATTTGGATTTATGGCCTTGCTTTAACATATCACATGCACTTCATTATTCTTGTATGAAGACAAACCCAGATGTGGATACTCAGAGGGAAAAAATTCACCAGCAGCTGCTTATGAAAATTTTTATTGAGGTAAAACTGTATTAATCATTCAAATTGTGCACTTACATTGCAAATATAGTAAAGACAAAACAAAGAGCAAAGAAGGTTAGATGCATTGAATTTACACAATAAAATTACAAACACCATTGCAGGCAGAAGTGTTTCGATAATTATTTTTTTGCATTTTCCCTGATTCACATATCAATACAACAAAATCAAAATATGCTACAACTTTACAAGTATTTGATACATTTCCACTTCAGAACACCACAAAAAAGTTATTTAGTGATTTGCATATAATATTAATTGTCTTTATTAATCAAACTTATGTAAACTTGAGTCTTTTCGAAACATAATATGAAATTCAATTACAGAAAATCATAAACAATAAGTCCAGCCGCAAATACCAAAAAAGATATGTTATTTATTTTTCAAAGCAACAAGTACACAAATCCTAGAATTAGGCTAGAAGAGCAATTGCGGGAAGGGGAATTTCAGTATCGTGAAGACATACTCCCCTGTAAGTGTTGTTCATCAGCTCTACTGGCTTACCTTTTCCTAAAATTAAAAGCGTGAAAACTTTTTCACTGATAACATGGCACCCTGATGAAGTCGCGGATTTTTCACGATTGGTCTTTTTTTAATGGGAGAGAGGTGTTTGGATTATATTTGGGTGGCCTCTTGTTGCCGTAGCATGTCAGACTCTTATTTCATAAATTCTGCTCCCTTTTTGTTATTATTGTAAGATTTTTGAAAGTGTGTTCCATTAAATGTTAATCAAACTTGCTATAGCTTTGTTTGGCATATTAGTATTTCATAGAGAAATTGACACCCCTCCATCTAACCTAGGCTAGGAGGGAGTCTCCGCCTAAATCCATCCCAGAATAAAGTAAAGTGAAGCCCCACCCCCACCCCTAATCCACCGCAGTGGATGTTTTGTTTTTAGACCGATAGTTGAGTGTCAATTTTTACAACCTCGCAAAGTACATAGTTTATGTTATTATTGTATGGGATATTGTCTTTGGAATTTTCAAAACAGCTTCCTAATATAGTTTTAACAATGGCACACTTAAAATTTGATGTTATCCCACCATCAATTTGTCAATAATAATTTACCTGAAATAGTAAGACAATTCCATGCTGGGATACAGAATAAGGGAAGTAACAGAAGCGCCACTCGATGTTGGAGCCTTAAGTGTTCGTGTTCCCTGTTTTGAGTTCTACAATCCGGGTATTTTAAACGGCGGCCATGTTTCCAGCCAGATGAGTGCAGCCAGATCGTAATATAATATATAGTTCTACGGATGGGTTTTGGCAAATAAACCCAAATATTTCTAAAGATTGGCCATTTTTAAATATTTTTTGTGTGGATATAATTAACGCATCAAGCTTTCAACAATTTATCCATTAATTCGACGTCTGTTTTGATAAATGAGGGTTTATTCGGAATATTTTCAAAGTAGATATGTGTCTGACGAGACAACATCAGAAGCTCTGCTGCATGGCCACTATGAAGGTCATCTGATGCCAAAATGTTTTCTATTCATCACAGTTGTGACTTGTGAAGCTTGAATGACTTTTTGAGCAAGTTGGAACTTAAGCAGCAGCATGTTGGTCCACCAATATAGTGCTTGAATAGCAATTTGTAAAACATATACTGTCATATGGTCAACATGACTTAACTTTGTTATTTCCGCCTTTTTAAATTCAATCAGGAGATTATTTATATATTTGACATAGATGCTTACTGATGATGTGAGAAGTGAACATAAAAAAGCTTCCTGATTGCTTTTGTGAAATGGATTTGTGTTGGCTTGGCACAATTTCCCCCTGTTGTCAAATGTTTTAGAAAAGTTTTCTAGTGTATCTGTGTTTCACCTTTTTGGTAAAAAACCAACTGTGTAAAGTATTAAGATTTAAATAATGGCATTAAGAGTAACTATAACTGGTTTTGTCAGACTAAGTTCTGTTTGTGACATGATTATTTAAAATAAAAATTTTAATTTCTTGAATGAAGTTTATGACTTTAGCAAAAATCAAATGTTTGAGCCCTTTGTTGCAATAGTTTCACTCTGCTGGTTGATCAATATGGTGAATGAAACATAATCATTTTTCACATAAAATTGTTGGTCACAACTCAAAAGTGAAGTTTAACAAAAGAACTAAACTGTAGGCGTTTGACAATATGTTTGACATAATGACAAAGTTGTTAATTTAATTGAGACAATTTATCCAACGATTGGTTTTCGGTCTACGACCTTCACCAGCAATTCTAGGAGCTACTATAACCATCATTTGAAGACACACGAAAAGAGGAAGCCAGAAACTGTTGAACACTTGAAAAATTCTCTGTATGTCGATGATTTTGTGTCCGGTGCTGAAACCAATAAAACCACTTTGCAAATATACAAGGGAACAAGGCAGTTGATGGCATTCAGGAAGCTTTTTTATGTTCACTTCTCACTTCATCAGTAAGCATCTACGTCAAATATATAAATAATCTCCTGATTGAATTTAAAAAGGAGAAATAACAAAGTTAAGTCATGTTGACCATATGACAGTATATGTTTTACAAATTGCTATTCAAGCACTATATTGGTGGACCAACATGCTGCTGCTTAAGTTCCAACTTGCTCAAAAAGTCATTCAAGCTTCACAAGTCACAACTGTGATGAATAGAAAACATTTTGGCATCAGATGACCTTCATAGTGGCCATGCAGCAGAGCTTCTGATGTTGTCTCGTCAGACACATATCTACTTTGAAAATATTCCGAATAAACCCTCATTTATCAAAACGGACGTCGAATTAATGGATAAATTGTTGAAAGCTTGATGCGTTAATTGTATCCACACAAAAAATATTTAAAAATGGCCAATCTTTAGAAATATTTGGGTTTATTTGCCAAAACCCATCCGTAGAACTATATATTATATTACGATCTGGCTGCACTCATCTGGCTGGAAACATAGCCGCCGTTTAAAATACCCGGATTGTAGAACTCAAAACAGGGAACACGAACACTTAAGGTTCCAACATCGAGTGGCGCTTCTGTTACTTCCCTTATTCTGTATCCCAGCATGGAATTGTCTTACTATTTCAGGTAAATTATTATTGACAAATTGATGGTGGGATAACATCAAATTTTAAGTGTGCCATTGTTAAAACTATATTAGGAAGCTGTTGTGAAAATTCCAAAGACAATATCCCATACAATAATAACATAAACTATGTACTTTGCGAGGTTGTAAAAATTGACACTCAACTATCGGTCCAAAAACAAAACATCCACTGCGGTGGATTAGGGGTGGGGGTGGGGCTTCACTTTACTTTATTCTGGGATGGATTTAGGCGGAGACTCCCTCCTAGCCTAGGTTAGATGGAGGGGTGTCAATTACTCTATGAAATACTAATATGCCAAACAAAGCTATAGCAAGTTTGATTAACATTTAATGGAACACACTTTCAAAAATCTTACAATAATAACAAAAAGGGAGCAGAATTTATCAAATAAAAGTCTGACATGCTACGGCAACAAGAGGCCACCCAAATATAATCCAAACACCTCTCTCCCATTAAAAAAATACCCATCGTGAAAAATCCCCGACTTCATCAGGGTGCCATGTTATCAGTGAAGAAATTTTCACGCTTTTCATTTTAGGAAAAGGTAAGCAAGTAGAGCTGATGAACAACACTTACAGGGGAGTATGTCTTCACGATACTGAAATTTCGCTTCCCGCGATTGCTGTCCAACTGTATGAAACAAATGGGTGTCAAATGAAAAATTTTGGTAATTTTGGAACTGATCCCTTACTGGAATTTCAACACCTTCAAGTAATCAGAGACATAGAATACAAAAGCCGAAACCCAAGTTTTGTTACGATATTTAATGAAACTGTAAATAATAAGCCAAACTCATTTTCTAATGCTGTAATTAGTTTTATTATCCTTACAACACACCTTTCCCCGTCAACATGTAAAGAATGAATATAAGAGAAGCATAATCAACTGTTGGTTCTATTTTTTGGCAGCAGTGCATGGCTATATCAAACAACATGTGATAATGGTTTTACGTTTGTTCCGGACAGTGCTAAAAGATTGCTAAATATACTCAATACATAATTTACTCAGTTCTCGAAGACTGATTAGAAATTCATCTATGCCAGCCTATCGAAATGTGTTGTTATTGCATCACGACATGTTGATGCCAATATTGCTACATCCATAGGTACCTTGTGACATATCTTGCAAGAGAAATAGTCTTTTACTAAGTTCTTTGAAGTTTTTACTTAGTACTTTTTGTATTTCATCCAATTTATCCGAAATTTGAAGCGCACCAACGGATTTTCGTTTCTTTTACATGGATTGCTGATAATCTTCACTGTCCTGCTCCTCTGAATCCGAACTGCAAACAATTTCTGCTTTGCTTCTTCTTTTTCTTTCTGGTTTCTTCACAGCATTTATTTTTCTTGAAACAGTCTTCCAAAAGATAGTGCCTTAAACAAAACTTTGTCATAATCTTTTGACTATATTTTTACTTTGCAAAGTTAATAACTTTCATGAATTTGGCATTCATGATGAAAATTTCAGTTTGACTAATAACAAAGTCATGAAGATTAAGTCTTTGGCTATACCCGGCTTCAGTATGTGTCATATCGCTTTCGCAAACTACAAGGGACATGACAATATTTGAGCATATTACCTCATGTTCTTGGTTCATCAATATATTGAAAGCCACCATTCGATACCAACATCAAGTTGTTCTCGTTGAAATTAGTTTCAGCTCTTGCCAACAAGTGCGCAACATTCGCATCCTCTTTTCGATGTATTGGGATAAACGTTTGCTTGGGGCTGGAAGAATCGATGACGGGCTAGCCAGTCGGTGAGAGATCGGCGAAAAGCACCTTCACCGTTGATTTCAGTTTTACGCTGTTGCTCTGACTTGCATTGTTACCGAGTCCAAAGCTTCTTCACGCTTTCGATGCGTTTTAAGCCTATGGCCTACTGACGATAGTCGAGAAAGAGCTGGTCACAAAGGGGGGATTCACCAATCGTTCCATCGTCGAATCCAACAAAGTTAGATTTTCTGCTGTCGTTTAGAAACTCCGGACGCGTCCCAAAGTCTTCCTTGATGGAAATTGTGTTTGGGATGAACTGCAAGTATAAGTTCAAAGCTTATGACTTACATGATCTTACATTTAGTTATTTTGTTACATTTGTAATACATACGTTAAAATATCGTCCTAATCGTTCTGCTGTTACAGTGGACCTCCTCATATTCATATCTTTCTCGTTACAAATGAAATTATACGATGGATCCATTGCATAAATTGCGCTATGTACCATTGTGTTTTCCCAGTTGACACACGTTGATGAATCCTGGAGCAATGTCAATGCAGAGCAGTGGGTGAATGAAATGTGCCGGTTGTAAAAAGACAATGCCTTTATTGCCGTGAGAGAGAAACATACGGTAGCAAAGTACTTGACATTGCACCACTCACACTTAATAATCAAAACCAACAATGGAGGTATCTATGCCACTTATATATGAGCAGTTTAACAAAATTGGATTGCTTTTCAAATGGTGTTCAAAGATCTCAAAGAGAAATGTACTCAATAGTACAAATGCGTCACATATTGCAAGATGCAAGATAAGAAAGTAGTAGTTCTACTTTAACAGAATCTTTTGTTTTAAAATTGAAGCGATCACCAGAGTATTTCCAGCAATGCCAAGATCACATATTGCCACAACGAACACTACATTATCTCTCATTATTAATGATTTGTCTGGCCAACTTTGGAGCGCTTTACTTTCTTCTACTTCCCTGTTCAAATGTGATGATAAACTGTGTTTTCCGTAAATATTGAATACTGCACCTCATCATAAACAGTTGTGTTTAATGAGGGCGTTCTTAAAACGAAACGAGTCCAAAACTAATCAAGTTTGCGTTGTTTTATTGGATGTGTAATATGATCTCTTAGACAAACATTATTGGACTAAATTTGTTGACCATGTCAAGATATAATAAATTGCCGATAACATATTGATCTCATTTTTTGCGAAGTCAAACGATTGTTGAAGTCATCATGCCAGCTGTTGACAGACTGAGATATAACTTTTTGCAGGAACTGAAGTTCAAATATTTTAGAATAATAAAGTCTATTTGGACACTATTGAGATATTTATGCATGCATGTACAACTTAGAAAATGATTATTAAACATAAATTTTAATAAATCAAATAACAAATGCAATTGAACACAGTAGTGTTAAAAATAATTTCAAGCGTTTGTGGAGAAGAATACTATCGAACTTGAAAATATTTTTATTGGCATTGTAACGATATGACTTTATAGAAATTTAATCAGTTATATGGGCAGTTATTTTCTGAATGAACATGTTTTTAATTTGTCGAAGTAAATTATAAAGGCAGTATAAGTTCGCAACAATGAATTTGTTCATATTTTTGCCTTTTTGAATCTCCAAAAGAATATCACTTGTTTTTTGTGTATCACACGATAATATTTTATCTTTGTACACCATGATTAAAAATTAAAACATCTTACTTTAGATGCCTGTAACAATGACTAACATCACAACGTTTTTTTTATATAAAAATATTTACACAGATCTCGGCTTGCATGTGTTTATCTCTGAGTGTTAATGGTTTTCAATCTGTTCCTGCTTAACTTTGTTCGACAATTGTAATACAGTTTTAGCTATTTAAATGCATAAAAATTTCGGGCAAAAAACTCGAAAACAAAGTGTAATTATAATTACTTGAATTTTATCAATTTTTGAGCAGCTATTTCAGTAGTAATACCGTGCGGTATTCTTCTATCCAACATTTTATAGATCAGAGGATTCAACAAATGTGACCTAAAAACACGGACAGCAAATGCAGTGAACATATTTGTAGGGGCGTTCATATATGACTTAATTATTAAAGAAAGAGCATTATCTCAATTTTTAGCGCATCTTTACAGCAAATAATAAATATGACCCGTTTCTAAGTAGAGAACTGTGTTTACGCAGATGAAAAATGTCTTACTATTTTGAGTATGTGTGATGGAGGACATAAGATGAAGTTACGTTGGAATCCAGAATGTTTTCAGTGCTTTTCTTTGTTTGATCAATGCTTGGGCGATAATGGAGTAAGTCGCAATCGGGAATATTATTGAAAATATGTAAGAGCAGGTATGAAAAATGATCTACAAAATAACTACTCTTTAACTGTCATTCCAACTGTCATTACCAACCATTGAAATACATAATCCAATAGTATCCCTTTGAATCAACCATTAAAATTTTTGTTTGAATCATCTTTATTTGTCATTTCTAAGTGACCAGTTTTGCATATGGTTGTATTGACCATCGTAATTAGCAATTTCTAAATGACCAATTTTTCATATGGTTTTTATGACCAAATTGCAATAGTTGCAACCATTGAAAATAGTCGTTTCAACTATTTAGTTCTCACTGAGTGGTCACCGAACCGTATCTCAACACTGTTTAGAGCGTTTGAACAGAACACTCAACAATGTCGAGATAAGTATGCGCTCTTTACAGCGTATATTGAAGAAATTTACCTGGTCACTGAACCGTATATGTAGGTGTATATATATATATAATATATATTGATGAGAAGAAGAAAACACACAAAAACTACAATTTCATCCCGACAAGCGTGTTTCGTGATTTCTCACTCTTCAGGGGATAATATTAAATGAATACAAAAGCATGTGCTAGATTATATATACAAGAGGAAGTTAGGGTAGAAATAAAGATAGAATTACATAATATGTTTAGTGTATGGTTACAAATTGGATAAAAGTGCCTTGTGCCTATGGCGACAAGAGGAGTCTTATGGCGACAAGAGGAGACTTACAGAAAACGAATTTAAGACTCGACACAGGAACCACACTGCCTCTTTCCGCCACAAAAAACTAAGAAACTCCACTGAACTCAGCAAACACATATGGACACTAAAAAACAACAACATCGTTCACGATATCTCATGCAACATCATCACTCACAGCAAACCGTACAACAGCGCCAACAAAAGATGCAACCTATGCCTGAAAAAAAATTCTTTATCACCTACCAACCACAACTATCATGACTCAACAAACGTAACGAACTTATCTCCCCTTGTCGCCATAGACACAAGGCACTTTTATCCAATTTGTAACCATACACTCAACATATTATATAATTCTATCTTAATTTTTACCCTAACTTCCTCTTGTATATATAGCACATGCTTTTGTATTCATTTAATATTATCCCCTGAAAAGTGAGAAATCACGAAACAGGCTTGTCGGGATGAAATTGTAGTTTTTGTGTATTTTCTTCTTCTCATCAATATATGTATTATATATATATATATATACACCTACATATACGGCTCAGTGACTTTTTTTTTGTTCTTGAGGTTTACAAAGACTATTAGACAAAGAAGTGGGATTTTTCTATTCAACATTCTTTTCTTCGTTTTTTTCTTCGTTTGTTTCTTCATAAAACGGAAAGTTTTATGTTGGGCAATAACATTTTTATTAAAACTTCGTTCTCCTTCTGGCAAATCTATTGTTTAATTATTTCCCAACAATTGTCAAACACGCAGAATATTTCTCACGTTTGTTTATTAAAATCTCATTGGCTTGGCCATGCATTATTAATGTAGTATGCGCATGCATGGCGATGATCAAACGGTAAAACAATTTAATGAAATATCCTTCATACCGATGGGTTGAATTCTTGTTTTAGAATGTTTATTTTACGAACTTGACTTTCAATCTCCGCCTTCTATCTGGTTTAATTTATATTTGAGAAGTCGAGATATATTAGCCAGTTCTCTCGTGGTGTCTTTTGAAAGCTGTTTCTGTAAAAACAACAATAAAATTGTCCTAAGATAAAACTGAAATTACTATCTCGCTCAATTTGAATTAACATAATGCACATTTTAAGGATTTTGTTCTATTCCATCCCAGTTCATAAAAGATGCTTGATGAATCTACATCCCATGGCCAAGTATGAAGGATTGGTGAAAGTATTGCAAAACAAGTGAGGTTTATGAGACTAAAATAACTTGATTGATGGTCAGCCAAGTTTACATATAGTATTGCATAGCATCTTTAAAATCAGCACAAGGTAAATTCAACAATAAATTCTCATGTTACAACTCGCTAATTTACCAAGTAATTGCCTCAGAAGCAAAATAACCATTTGGGGCAACACACCCAAAATCACCAATAAAATTTATTTCAAAATACAGCACACCCCTTCGCACAAAGCCATTCTACATAATCATCATACATCCATTGCTGTTTTAGTGCATACTTCTTCATGCATTAAGGAAATACAACCTGACCTAGACATCATGTTTGTCTATGGCCAAACAACGCTTTCCGTTTATGATAAATATTTTGTAAGTTCTTGAAAACTACAAATTACACAAAACGAAAAATGATTCAATTGAGGTTTTTTGAGAGTAAACATGAATATAAACAATTTGGACACTTTAAAGAAAACAAATTAATTTTCTTTATATTATTTGGCTGCTTTGAATAAGTTATTTCAAGATTTTAAAAGTAAGCCTTTTAGCCTTGATAATTGCACTATAAGAGGTACTAGTGAATTTTAGTGATACTGTATTAATTTCATACTCAAACAATATAATAAAACAGAAGTCTGCGTTAAAGTATAATGGTTTATCAGCACATATATATGTGAGTAAACTCTTAAATAGCCTATAAATTAATTAAATATAACGGTGATAACGTGAATATGTTAGGAAAACACTTGACCATCATAATGTCGATGTTGAGTTGTTGACTCCAATTAATAGGTATCACTAATCACACTACCAATTTATGCTCTACGTAAATAAAACAAAGATGCCATAGTCTTTACAAACCTTTTTGAGAATCCGCAGTAAATCCAAAAGATCAGGAAATTGAAAACATCAACAAACATCAGGGTTGGCCATTCTTCTTTAATTAAATCTTCTTTAATCTTCTTTAAATAATTAAAGAAGATTTCAAATTTGTCTCAAAATCTTTATTGTTCATTAAAGTTGATAACATAAGGTTGATATATTCATTTATTTATTAATTAATTGCACTTCAGGTTGTGCGACCATTGTGGGTTGAGTAATCATTCAAGTGGTCAAGTTTATATGTAAAGGTAATTTTACTTAATTATGCTGTTTTATTTATACCTTTAAAAAATAAAAATAGATGAAATGTGAAAAAAATCAAAAAAGGTTATGGAAGGTTTGGAATGTAGTTCACTGTCTTTGGATTCACTAGATTAGATTGTAATTTAAAATTTAAATTAGTCTAACTTTATGTCGTAAAATTGTAATAAAAGGTGTTATATACATAACTTTCAGCTATACTTTACAAAGTCATCTTCAATCTTCTTTAATCTTTTTTAATCTTCTTTGTATGAGTTAAAGAATCAAGAAGATTTTGACTATGGAAAAGTCTTATTTAATCCAACCCTGACAAACATCCAATTACAAAAATACGAAAATTTGTCTCCTCGATCGTTGGAATTTTAAAACACGTGTTGTGATATATGGCTCAATCAGCGGGCAAATGTTAGCAGACCTCTCAACCTCAAAACACATAAAATCTGGAGACTGATGCAAAAAATCTGGAGATTTCAGTAAAAATCTGGGGATTGATCTACCGGCAGACAAAACCAAGTAAACACAGGTTCGGATACAGAGAAAGTCTTTTTTCCTGCTTATAATTTACTTAAAACATGCGTGGACCTTAACAACACAGAGATAAACTTTGTTTTGACAGCTTCAATGCTCAGAATTATATGCAGTAGCAGCCTTTTTGGAACTATCCAACAGTTCTTTTGTAGTACTCCACTTGTGGCACGGTACAGTCTGCTCTGGATACTGCAGCTTCATGGCCAGCAAACTTGACAGTGTACCCTCCAGCCTCATTGACGCTCTGCTCTCGGTCTTGTTTTTCCTCACGATACTAAACAAGCTCCCCTCTCTTGCATTACTATGGGGCAAGACTAAAACAAGTCCTGCTTTTTTTGGCAAATGTTTAAATCGTTTGGCAGCTGTGCCAGGGATGACAAACTGAGCAATATGCCACCACAATACATCCATTCTGTAATGAGTAAGCACCTCTCCATCCTTTTCTCCGTCAATCACTTTAGCTTCCTTCAGCACATTATGTTAGGATATGAACATCACGCGAAAAACATAAACAACATAGCCTTGCATGCATAATGAGTAGGTATGACACATGTCAGATCAAGTGACATTGTGAACTTGTTATCGTAATATCGTTGTTAGCTTATACGTAAGTTGTTATTTTGCTCCACAATAAAAACCATAATATTTCACATATTGTCCGAACGTTATTGCTGAATCTCGAATAATTTAACAGGTTATGGGCCCAGGAGCGTTTGAGTTTCTGTTGATGACGGCAAATACGGAAAGTATATGAGATATCGCGATTTCATGAGAATATAACTTACATAAGTGCGAAATATTGAATATGGCGACTTCGGGAAATGACGAAGCATTTACACGGATCGAAAAGTTCAATGGCCAAAACTTTCACCTTTGGAAGTTTAAGATGCAGATGATACTTGAAGAGAAGGATCTCTGGCAAATAGTTATCGGCGATGAGGTAGAACCTAATGGTGAAGGAACTACTGATACTCAACGTCGACAATATAAAAGGCGGGAAAGGAAGGCATTTGCAACAGTATGTTTGTCTCTTGGCGATGAACAGCTATCTCTCGTTCGATCAGCGCGTACTGCAAAAGATGCTTGGGCGAAATTAGAAAGTCATTATGAAGTCAAATCTTTGGCAAATAAGTTATTCTTGCGAAAGAAATATTTCACCACAAGTATGGGTCCTGAAGATTCCATGACCGAACATCTCAACAAGATGAAGGATATTGCAAGTCTATTAGAAGCATTGGGTGCGTCTGTTTCTGAGGAAGATCAAGTGGCGACACTCCTTTGTAGTTTACCTGATTCATACAGTGGCTTAATAACAGCATTGGAATCTAGAGCGGATGACTAATCATTCGAATTCGTTACTGCTAGACTTCATCATGAAGAACAGAAACCTAAAGAATCCAACGAAAGTAAGGATATTGGTGAGAAAGCACTACTATGTCAAAAGTCCAAAAACGACAAAGTAAAGAATACTAAATTCAAAAGAAAAGGTAAATGCCATAACTGCGGGTTACCTGGACATTGGGCTAGAGAATGTCGCAAACCCAAACAGAATCAGCAAAGTGACAATAGAAATAATAGGAAAGAAGCATCCTACGGAGCCACAGTTCAGAATTCATCATTGTTTAGAGATAGCAAAGAATCTGCATGGTACATTGATTCAGGTGCATCATCTCATATGTCATATAATAAGGACATCATGGTTGATTTCATCCCATTCAAATTCCCTGAAAAGGTAAAGCTGGGAGATGACAGAATAGTTCAAGCACTGGGAAAAGGAAATGTACACATTGAGATTAAGTCTAAGAAGAAGTATGAACCAAGAAGATTGGTTGACGTTCTATATGTTCCAGATTTAGGAAAAAATCTCTTCTCAGTTAGTGCTACCGCAAAACGGGGATACTCAGTTGAATTTAATCAACACACTTGCTTGATACTTGATCAAAATGGAACTATATCTGGATCAGGAAGAATGATGAATAACCTGTATGTTCTTGATGTTAAAGAAGAACAGGATGATTCGAAGCATGCGAATGTTTCTACAAGTGATACTAGCGAAAAAATATGGCATCAACGGTATGGCCATCTAAGCCTGAAGAATTTACGTCTACTTCGAGATCAAAAGTCGGTTAAAAGTCTTAATTTTCAATCCGATGATCACTTTGAAGTTTGTGAAGGATGTGCACAAGGAAAGCAGATACGAGCAACCTTTCCTCGAGAACCTGCAATGCGTGCTAAAGATGTACTCGATCTTGTCCATAGCGATGTTTGTGGACCGATAGAAGAAAAAAGTCTTGGTGGAAATAAATATTTCATAACATTTATTGATGTTAAATCAAGGTACACAACAGTCTACTTTATGAAGAGTTAGGATGAAGTTTTTTGAGAAATTTAAAGAGCTTGAAGCAATGGTGACAAATGTCACTAACAAGAAAATTAAGGTACTTCGATCAGATAACGGTGGTGAGTACACTTGTCAAATGTTTGAAAAATATCTAAAGGATAAGGGAATTCAATATCAGTTTAGTGTTCCAAGAACACCACAGCAGAACGGAGTTTCTGAAAGAATGAATAGAACCATTCAAGAAGCTGCACGATCTATGCTGAACAACGCAAAACTACCAAAGAGATTCTCGGCTGAAGCAGTTCAAACTGCAGTCATCTTAAGAAATCAAAGTCCTACTGTATCCGTGAACGGAGTTACACCTTACGAATGTTTCCATTCTAAGAAACCTAATGTTTCACATCTGAGAATTTTTGGTTGCACAGCTTACATGCACGTTCCTAAGGAAACAAGGAAGAAATGGGACTCCAAAACCAAGAAATGCACATTTGTTGGGTACAGCCTCACAAGTAAAGGTTATCGACTCTACGACGCTTCAACTGGTAAAATTCACATATCAAGAGACGTGTTATTTGACGAAAGCTCATTTGATCGACGAAAGAAATCTACTATAGTAATACATTGATATGATAAAGATATTGTGACCGAAAAACAGAATGATGAACTATTTGAAGACAATGAAGAACGTGAAGTCAAAGAACAAATGGAAGATAGTTCCAACAACAGTATGAAAGATGAACAACAACAACCACGACGATCAGCACGAATACACTAATCTCCTGATAGACATGGTGTGGTGATCACAGGTAATTGGTGGCAGAACAATGTCGCTAGCATTGATGATGAATCTATCCGTCACGATGAACCACGCAACATTAATGAAGCTTTTCATAGTCCAGATAAGGCAAAATGGAAGCAAGCAATGGACAATGAATATTCCTCCCACATAAAAAACAATACGTAGACATTGGTTGATTTACCTAAAGATCGTAAAACCATAGATTCTCGATGGATATTCAAAGTAAAGTACAAAGCAGACGGTTCAATTGAACGACATAAAGCTCGGTTAGTTGCTAAAGGATACTTACAAGAATATGGTTTAGATTATGAAGAAACATTTTCTCCAGTAGTAAAATATAAATCAATTCACTCTCTCTTGGCAATCGCTAATCAGTTAGATTTGGACGTATCATCTTGGATTTATCATGGATGTCACGCAATATGGCGGCTCGTCAGTAATCTATACCTACTACATCTATGGTTGAAACAACGACGTCCATTGAGCGACAGCATTTCAACGTCGAAAGAACGTCGAAATAGAGTCAAAACAACGGCGTCGATTTCGACGTCAATCCGACGTCAATTGCCCACTGGGTTGTGGCAACAAACATCCTTACCACTGGATTGGAGTGCAATAAGGCATTGCGCTTCTTTTAGTCGCAGAACATATTACATTAAAAAAAAGAGAATTTGCAAACATCCAAACTGCCCATGTCATCCCAGCTGTGAACAAACTTTGGAAAAAAGAGCAACAGCAAATGCTTTCTGAAGTCCAAGGAAAATCTATTAAAATAGCGTCAGATAAGAGAGTAGACAGCCCAGGCCACAGTAGTTTATTTGGAGCGGGTAGTACTCTTGATTTAGAAAGAAATATCATTAACGACACGCAGATCATCAAGGTGAGTACTAGATGAGTCTGTCAGTTGCGTGGAAGCTTGTTCTCATGCAATAAATATATAATGAAAACAGATGCAGGTAATTGATTAGAAGTCGTTTGCATATTCACTTTATTTTTTGTAAAACAGAGCACAGAGGTTCCAAATTCTAATGCTATGGAGTTGGAATCACTTAAACGACAACTCTTATATCTCGATCAAGAAAACGTTAATGTCGAAAAACTTGTGACTGACACGCATTCCCAAGTGTCAAGCTACATGGCTAAGGAAAAACCAGCAATCAAACACTATTACGATGTTTGGCATTTAGCTAAAGGCAAGAACTGTTAGCGTACAATTTTGCATAAGCATAACAAATAGTTATTGATAATAACAAAAATTGGCAATACATATATGAAAAAATCACATTCTATAGCACGGCAATGATTTATCCAACGATCAAAGCGTGAAAAAGAGTTCATTAACTACTTTTAGTAGAGGAGAAAAAGCTACTAAAAGTAGCAAAAGTGAAGAAATTTAAAGATATAAAATCTTGGATTGCGTAGGTCTTCCAATAAAAATATTCTTGTCAGGAAGACATCAATCATGGGTGCAAAGTTAAGTTTAACTTAAATGGGGTTTTAGTCCATCATAAACCATATATATTGGGTCGCATCATCAACATCTGATGAGAATGAGAGGGAAGAGAGATGGCTAAGTTTGTTGAATCGTATAGCGAACATTTATGTACATACAAAAAACAAAACATTTCGAAAATGCAAGTTATCGGATTTCTACCAAACTTCCTCATTGGAATCAAAACATGCCTTAGACAATCAGTTTGCTTCTAAAAACATCTACTGTCCATATAACTTAATTATGGCCAGGTAAATATTTCCTTCATTACATTAGATTATTTAATACAATCATCTTTCATGGAAATTTTATTAAATATGGCTTGACAAGTAAATGTCAATCATGCTTTGCAACACAAGCATAAGAAACAATCCACTTTAAATATAGATTGCTTTGTGCCGATTTACACTTCAGTAAAAACTCTCAAAGACAGCAGGCTAAGACAAAAAAAGGAGATGACAGATGGGTGGTAATCTATTCAAAGGCCAATAATGGTGTAAAAGCATTTGCCAGAAAAATAAAAGAAGAACCAACCTATAGTAACATTTTCAAACTTGATTTATAAAATAAGCCAAACGATCTTTTTATACTTGCATTGTATAACTGTTTCCCCTTTATTTTATATTTTATTTAGATTATTCACAAACTATACAACAGGAAGTTTTTGAACTGAGGAGAAGGTTTCCAACCATTGTACAAGCAAAAAAACATGCAAAAGCAATTTTACAGAAAGAGCCAGAATCACTTGTCAGTGTGCGAAATTAGTTCAGAAAAAACGATGTGCAATTTTTTAGACAAAAGTGTTTCTTTAGAGGCATAATCAAATCGATATTACGTTAACTATTATATAGCGCTAATTGCTAAATTAATATTTTTAAACGTGAACAAATTCATATGAATTACGACAGTGTTTTTCGTTAAAACCGCTGATTTTTGTACATCGTTTGAAAAAGTGATGTGTAATTGTTTTCATTTTAGCTAAAACGATGTGCAAATTGCACATTGCACACCGTTAATTCGCACACTTTTTTGAAAAACTACCTTAGAAACTGTGAAGCACAAGCGAAAGATTTAGTCATTGCAAAGAAGTATACTCAATTTACAAAACCGGCCTTGATCATTTCAGAAAAAGAGAGAGCATGTGAATGCTCAGGAAAATGCGCAACTGTAAGATGTTTTTGTAAATTTGAAAATAAAATCTGCACACTTAATTGCAAATGTAAAAAGGAAACCTGTACAAAAAAGTAGAAAATGCTGCAAATTTGTATGGTATCTTTATTAATTATAAATAAAAACGTATAAATAAAATAAACTGTAAATGTGTGAATAATATACCCTTATGCACTAGATGTGCTCGTCATTTTGATTTATTTCAATAACAAACATTACTATTTATGGTAAGGCAGATAACTTATTTCGAAAACTTAAAATAGGTGCAAAGTCCAGTCAGTGAAGAAAATTCAGCCCTGATGCTCTGTAAATATAGGACAGAAACACTCTACGAGTTTTTTTTTACCTAAATATCAAGTACCCATCGCCTTCTATATGAAGGTGATGATATAGAACACCTTCTATACGAAGCCAGACAATAATTTTTTTTTCCAATTCATTGTCGCTAATAGGCCAATTATCTTTCAAGTACTGCGCCACAAGTACCTCTTTTGATAGCATGTTTAGTACAAATGAATTTAAGCTTGTCCCACAATTGATCCTTCCATTTGTGCATTCGTTAGTAACGCATTATATTCATCAAATTCCAAAGCCTTTTCCTGGTAGCAAAAGTTTTCTATACTTCTTTCCATGATAGCACACTTTCCACATTTACACAACTTCAAAGTCGCCAGCTTCCAACGATGTAAAGCTTCAAACTGTGGGTCAATTAAATCATCGTCACTGATACTCGAACCGTCCGTTGATATAGACGAAGACTCACACAAATCTTCTTTATTGGGTTCAAACATGTAAGGTTGCATTTCTTCATCTTTCAGTACAGTATTTTCATCTTCAACTTGTTGGATTGATTCCTCATTCAAAATCACCATGTTTTGAAATGTCATAAACACCTGGTTGTGAGGTCACAAACATGCCTCATAATTTTCTCAAAGTAAAAACAAAATGGCTGATAAGGAGTAAAATAAACATGAATAAAATTCTAATTTTCTATGAGCCAAATAGTCGAAGAGTACGAGTTACTTTGATTTTTCATAATTTATATGGTAAAAGTTTATTTATAGTCAAAACAATCTATATTGCCGATTTCCTTTAACGGCAAAAAATTTTGAAGTCCGTGAAAGTGGGAGCTGGTAACTAAAACGTCACACTAGGAACCGGTGGTAATGCTCACTTGTATAAACACACATAGTGAGCGACTAGATTTACCAGGGAAAATAATCTGAAGATGTTCTGAATTCTTATCAAGTTTACAGACAGAAATCTTCTGT